TAGCTAGTTAATGCTCATTGTTTTCTGTCTAGACTAGAGAAAGCAGAAAAAACACTAACAATGGAGTTCTATTTTTAGATGGCATTCTTCGGTTTTCCAAATAGAGGGAGTGAGCTTCTCCTATCGATACCAAACATAGCCATTGCTTTAGAACACATCACAGGACTTAAGGTGGGAGTGGCTAAGCAGAATCATTTATGGAGCCAGATGAACAGGAAAGCAGGTAGCCTGGTGAGTTTACAAAAACAACACAGGCGCTCACGAGCAAACTACACGGGAGTGTGCATAGGTCAACCGCTTATTGCCCAAGTGTTATATGACTTGAGACTAAGCTATCCAATAAGTCCTTCACTTCGGTAGTTGGTAACCCCATCGTTTATGCCCCTTACCAATCGAGCTGATTTCATGACGTGCAGACTATGGAACGGATAAAAATCCAAGGTTCGACAAGTCATTTGGCATGGTTTCTTGGAATAGCTATACTTCCAGAGAAATTAAACAGTAAAAGACACATCTGTGGACTCGCCATATTATCCACGTCAAGACAGAGGCATATCTGTCTACCCCGATTCCGTGGGGATTAGTAAGCACAATGTTTTTCTACGTCTCGTCATCACGCGATGAAGAGAATTCAAATCAAGTATGGTAGGCGGTGTAAAGCATCGTCGAGTCGTTCTTTAAAAATGGACAGCGTGGGCACAGAAATGACAAAATTCGGAAGACCGTTCCATGTTTGACAAATCAGAAGAAAAAAGTAATTCCGGCAACACTCCAGTCGACTGTATTAGGTGGCCATTTTCAGCTCATGATCCCGCAATTCTATGCTGCGACTGAGCGTCAGGTGGCGGCGACAAGCGTGACCGGTGTTTTCCAAGCTCACAAACGCCAGGATGAAGTCCCCTCGTAGACGACGATATCATCCACTGCACACTCCCAGGACTTTCAGTCGCAGGTGCTTAGACAGGTGGAACCATTTTTTCACATTTTTCGTTGCCCTTCGCTGTGCGGTCTCCAGTGCAGCCAGATCGCGGTTTAACCAAGCCTGGATCACTTACTCTACATGGGGCCTCACATACGCATTGAGCATTTGGGGGAAGATGGAGGGATAGAACCTCCCGAATGGCCTCCGTAAAAGATCAACATGTTGGTTTGCGGTTTTGGACGTCTTCAAGAACTGGGCCGCAAAGCCTAGATCATATTGCATCACGACCCCAAGGTCTCACTCTTGTGAGTAGGCCTTCAACATGTGATCTCCAAGCTTGTATGCGTTTGTAAATTTGTGGCGTACATTCACAGTTCTGCATTTGCCCGCGTTAAACAGAAGTAGATTTGTCTTTGACCATTCAAAAGGGCGGTCTAAGTCTCTTTGCGGCATACCTTGATCTTGCTGGCAGCCCATCAATTACAAGATCTTGACGTCATCGGCAAAAAACAAGAAAGTTACCTCGATGACACGCGCGGGGTCATAAATGTAGACCAAGAATAAAAGCGGCCCCCACACTGGCTCTTGTGGAACACCGCAGCCCATATTAATTGAGTTGGCAAATGAGCTCAGAACTCGAACCCGAAGGCGCCGTTGAAGGAGGAAATTTCTATCCATCCAGGAACTGGGTTACTAATACTGTACCTTTGTAGATTTTAAAGAAGGATGCAGTAACCTAAACGGTGGAAAATTGTACAGAAGTCTAGATAGATGATATCAATGCTCGTCCCCCGTCGGTTATCTTGGTCCAACTGCCAAGAGCAATCGGTCGTTTGACAGTACAGGACTGATGTTGACGGAATCCGTGTTGCTCAGGTAACCCATTAGAGCCTCATATATGATCGACTCCACCAGCTTTGAGAACACGGGGAGCAGTGACGTAGCAACTACTTTTGTCGCCGGGGCGGTGGTAAAGTTTTCACCTTGACTGAGGGCAGATGAGGCGCTTAAAATTCAGACAATCGGCTCAGGGCAAAGTGTACTTTACTTTTCGATGAAATGGATGAGTGTTTCGGACACTAAGATAAAAGTGGTGAAGGTAACCACAATGGGACAAGCAAGGGAACGAAAAAGAACGTTTGTACAAGTGTGACACACGGCGCAAATGTGTTGTTGCTCATACAGAGTAACATTAAGAATTGCAACGCTCAACTTATTCATATATTTGCCCTTTATAATTGGTATCTAACACTGGACGGTCTTAAAAATGCCGCCCCTTGGCGGACTGCCTCCCGCATGCTACGCCTCTGACCGACAGAAGAATCACTTGGCGGTAGTTGGTGGGCACAAAATAGCTAACACACTTAGACAATGATTTATCAAAGGATAAAAGCAAGTGCTTTACACGTCCCGTAGGATGGTTGCCGTGAATATGATGAAATCAAAATATATTTCAGTCATCTACCGAACGTCTGCCGAGATGAATATTTCAATACATTACATCAGTGTAAAATTTAAAATAAAATCGAGCGCAAACGTTCAGAAAGATATTGGGGTGCAGTCGTCGTTGATATAAGGCGTGAGAAAAGTAAACTATGCTCGCTCACCTGGGTCCATTTGATACACCAATCCTGTATAAAAGCATGCTTGGCGTAATCCACAACAGAGAATTTTAGGTAACAAAGTGCTGGGAGCTAAGAGCAACATCTAATAGTTCTTTGAAAAAGTCCAAGGTAAGGGAGGATACAACTGAGTCTGGGAGTGCCTTCCAACGTTGGCAAACCCGAATGGAAAAGTAATTCCGTCGACACCAGACGGCTATCTTGTTCCTTTAATTTTAAGCAGTTTTCCCTGAGCTGCGTGTTGTAGCTAACTTTCAGCAAATGGCGGCATACATGGTTGGGGTCATTCAGTATCTGATAAGCGTCCGCTGAAAATTCCCGGAAACTGCAACTTTCGGGGGTAAGAGTGATAGCTCAGGCTCTTTACATTCTTTGTTGCTCTTCGTTGTGGTGCCTCTAACGCCTCCAGGTCACGCTTCAACCACGGTTGCCCTGCTTGGATACGGTATTCAACATGCGGTCACATGTAGGGATTGTGCAGCATTTGGAAGATTGATGGGTCAAATCTCCCGAATGACGTTCGCAGCACACCGACGTGCTGGTTGCCTCTTTTCGCAGCTACCTCAGCCAGTGTTGAACACTTGAGATCGCTCTGAACGATCACACCAATGTCACGTTCCTGGGAGCTGGTCTGCATCCTGTTTGTCCCAAGTAAATATGTGTAGTTAAGTCAATGACGGAATTACACGACGCGACATTTATGTACCTTGAATGGTAGGGCGTTTTGAACTGACCAGTTCGACACAGTGTTAAGATCGCACTGCAGCCGTTCGTGGTCGTCCGGTCCTCTAATCCTTCTCCAGATCTTGATATCATGAGCGAAAAATTGGAAATCGGAAGCAACTGATCTCGCCAAATCCTTAATGAACACCAAGTATAGACGAGGTCCAAGCACGGAGCTTTGTGGTACACCACATACCAGCTCGATTGCATCGGACAATGATTCTCGGACTCTCACCTCTAGCCGTCATTCCTGTAGAAGATTGCTATTCCAACTCAGGATTGGGTCGCCAATGCCGTAATTCCGAAGCTTCTGAAGGAGACTACGATATTCTAAGCGATCAAACGCTTTTGAAAATTCCAGGTAGATGACATCGACTCCTGCTCCATCATCAACAGCTTCAGTCCAGCTATTACGTGCAATTATGGACTAGTTGTTCAACCAGACAACTTTGGAGAAATATCTTTAATGACTCAGCTATCCTCGTAGCTGCCACCTGCAGATCTTTAGGGAGAATGTTGCCAACTCCGGGGAAATTATGAGTGCGTAACGATCGTAGGTTCCTCAAAATGATCTCTGAATTATAAGTGACGTGTGTGAATACTGGCGTCTGAGAGAATGGGACATGTATATGACGTATGCAAGTAGCACGTCGGAATATTGGGGCAATTTAAGCCGTAGAAAGTAGGCTGCATTCTCGGCGGCTTGAGCACATCCATTTGCGGATATCAGCGGGGGAACACCACGCTTCACATTCCGGAAGGTGGTTCACATGTCTGTACAGAACCTTTCCGTTAAGCTCTGCTAGTGTAATTTAGTGTAATTTGTCCACACGGACAAGTGTTGTACAGTAATTCCGATGCACTACATCGTTGTTCCAATCGTTAGGGATAGGGTTCGCTCTGTAAGAATAGCACGCTGGGTCTCTTACTGTCATACGATTTCGAATACTTCTCTGATTGAATAATTGTTTTCTTGCAGAACGAAGGGGCTTGTTTACCGATGCGGATTTAATCACACTGTTGTCCCTGATAGCTTAGCGTTGCGAGAAGAAGGCCGTTGTCCTTACCCACGTTCGCATGAAAAAGAAGAACAGAAAGCTGTGTTTATTCTCTAAGCATGCTGAACTTTGTACTATGATTAACCCCGAGGAACTAAGAAGTTTCCACGTATAACATCTCGACGAAACTTGTAAGTAGACCGTGTTACATGTGTGTCGTCCGCTAAACCGCTGAGCCGATGAGCAAACACAGACACATACAGATCGATTGACCGATAGGTGATTCGCCCCCTCTTTTTCCTTGTGCTGATTGGTTCCTTTTCGACTTACTCATCTGGTGTAACTTACAAGCTATCTATTACAGATTTTGACACGACCCATCCGATGTGTGTTCTTATTCACTTCTTGCGCGGACTAAGAGTCCAGGTGCGATCCAGCAATACTCGAGTAATACGTATCAGACCGTAACTGCAGTGCTATAAGTTCTAGCACTACCAACAAGGTATCCTCAAATATCCCTACAGTAAATTACGCAACAGTTCTTAGCAGGAAGTACCTTTTTACTGAACTTTGAGAACAATTTCATTTACTTAGTCATGCATATATATACATATATATATAATATAGCAAAGTAAAACAGTTTGGAATCGCTAGCATTCGTTTCCTACATGTACAGACTTTGATGTTTCCATTTACTTGCAACTTATGTACCTCCAATGATTTTTTGATTCACAGGCCCCATTGAAGTCTAGTAGAAGAAGCCCAAGAAATACCGGAAATACAAACCAAATGACAGGGAAGAGAGAAACAGGAAAACAGCAGCCGGATCTGGTACTCAAATATGCACAGTTTTGTCCGCTTTAATGTCCCGGTACAACCCATAAGGGTAGTTTGGCTAGGTCTGCAATCAGCGTGCACCGTTTCCATTCGCCTTTCTACCTTCTCTCTCTCTCTATGCTCCATGTCTGGTCGTACACCCATAATCGGAAATGGGGCATCATTTTATTAAGAGGATTAAAACCAAAGTTTAGCAAACATCGCAGATGATCTGGATGAGAAGAATCACACTGGCGGACTCACTATGTTATTTACATAACCACGGGGGAACATTGGCACAGTTATATTAAACGGGTATAAAGCTAAACCCTAAAAGGCACTGAGTCCAAAGAAAAGCTTGGCAAAACGGTGCACGGTGGATTTGGGCAATCAGCACTTAATATACAGAGAATTACGATTGTAACTCCGTCTACCTAGTAGCTGCTAAGCACATTGCATGTCTGTGTTCCCTCTTCACCTGATAAGCTCAAGTTCGCTTTTCAGATGGTGCAGTCGCAGTCGTTTTTCAAGTTCAGACAGCGTGTGTGTGTGTATAGAAGTGACAAAATACCTTCTGTAATCCGAACCTTTGAATGTTCCAAGTCGGAGAGCTAGCTATCGACAAATTTCTCAAAGATGGAGTAAGTAAGTAAATTGCCAGCTATACGCCGTAACGGAGCTCCGCTGTCACGAGACCGCCACCAGTCGCGCGTGGGCTGAGCATACCGCGAGGACGCCCGCCCCTGCGCGGATTCGAACCGGTGACCTTCGGGTTGCAAACCAGACGCGCATACCACTTGGCTATCGGCCGACTCGCAAGGATGGAAGTTCGAACAACCCTCTAAGAGGCTGTGTTGCGCAGCGAACTTCAGTTTCATAGCCCTTCAGGTTGTGTTTGGAGCTAAATTTCATTAGGTTGCGAACCATGTAGCCTGGGTTGTTACAAAGGATGGTCCTTCTTGACGAGTGGTTAACCCATCAAACGCAAATAAGTGAAACTTACAGTACGTAGAACTTGCAAAACGCCTCGCCCTATATTGTTCGGCTCAGAATGCTGCCATCATCGGGCTGTGTAGGTTGGCAAACACATCTGCCTCATGCACTTATCAAATCGGTTGGATAGTTCGTCCTAGGATGTATAGCTTTTACTTTTGTTTATTTTTCGGCGTGATGAGACACTCCTATCACAGGGACTTTAAAAATCTAATAGGCAAAGAATAGGTCGCACTGTAGGTTGTGATATTTACCGCCGCACACTCCGGGAGCCTCCATTCTAAGGTGGTATGGAGTTGGCTGCAACGCTTTTACCTGCTATCCGCGCTCGATCATAACCGACAGAAGCACACACTGTAAATGCGCCAATGCGCTGCCGTCCTCGCTTAAATACATGTGCACAGCAATGAAATGAAATAGATCGGGAAACTATACCAAGATAAGTAAACTGAGAGAGAGCACTTCCGGTAGCACTAAGCAGCTGAATTCACTTCCAGACATCCTGAGTTGGTATTCTGGCTTAATGTCAGGTATCGGCACACCTGGTTGGTTCCACAGGATTTGCAAGTGTTGTATGTGGTAACCTCGAAGACGTCGATACTTAGACTGAGACTGAGACTGTATCTAAGAGCAAGTAGAAAGGTTTCTGTACAACTCTATCGAATTACGAAAAATCAAAATTTACTTGTGAATTATCAGCAGTTGTGTCTAGTCCGTTAATAGTTTATCCGTGTTCGGTTAGAAATTTGTACTAGCGTCATTATTTCCGGACATACAATGTATTCTTTTGGCACTGTATGTGCATCGTTTCACAAAAGCACAGGTTTCCAAAATAATCGTCGATACGGGTTTTAAAACACTTCACAGAATCGGCCTCTATTAATCCTTCTGGTAGTGTATTCCATAAGTTTACGATTCTTCGTTCGATACAAAGCTGATGTGATACTTTGTTCATGCTGGGGACCCTGAGTTTGTAACGATGTCCTCGGGTGTTACAGGGTTCTCGCAGGTGAAATATTGGCCGCAGTATGGAAAAGTGATTCAAGTGTAGTACTCGATGGGTCATAATAAGATCAATTCTTACTCGGCGATAGGATTGTGTGTAGAGTCCGAGCCTTTCACAACGTTTTTCATACGGAAGCTTTCGTAGACTTGGTATCATTCTAGTTGCGATATGCTGTATTTTCTCCAATTTTTCAGTTTCCCACTGGGTTATCGGATGGTAAGCTGGGGCACCGTATTCAAGGATTGGTCTAATGAGCGAGGTGAATAGACGAGGGACGGTTTCTTCGGACCATGTGGAGAAACTGCGTCTTAATGCCCAGAGCATACGAAGTCCCGCACGGTACAATTTCTCTGTATTTTCTAGTGATCTTAAATCATATCGTGAGAGAACTCTTAAGTCTCTGACAGATGTGTTGGGATGGAGCAACTGGCCGTCCAAGGTGTATGATCGAGTGGCTGGACGTCTGGTGATACTGATGAACTCCGACTTGCTTGCGTTAAGAGGGAGTTGCATTTCAGTGGACCACGTTGACAGTCGTTCTAAGTCATGCTGGAGGCGAGCGCAGTCGTCCTGGTTTTCAATGATCCTCCAGATTTTCAAATCATCTGCAAACAGGACACATGGTGACTGGAGCTGCTGCGGAAGATCGTTGATATGGATAAGAAATAATACTGGCCCAAGTACAGTTCCTTGAGGCACGCCACTGGTCGATGGGAACCATTCTGTCAGATAGTCATTGACCTGTACTCTAAACCTTCGTCCCACAATATACTCTTGTATCCATTGAAATAACGTGCCACCGATTCCGTAGGTCCTCAGTTTACCAAGGAGTGCCTCGTGGTTCACTCTGTCAAACGCCTTACTAAAGTCGATGTACACCACGTCAACATCCTTCTGTTCATTGAGAGCTCGAACCCACTGGTGGTTTGAGTACATCAAGTTGGTGATGCAGGATCGCCCTTTCGTAAAGCCGTGTTGCGCTGGCGTCAATACGTCCATCGATTCGAAGAACGACAGCAGACATTTTTTCACAACCTTCTCGAGAACTTTGGATAATAACGAAGTCAAACAGATCGGTCAATAGTTCTCTATTTTACTCGGATCACCACCCTTGGGAAGCGGTTTAACTATCGAGCATTTCCAGTCGTTCGGGACGGATCCTTCAGAGAGCGATCTGTTGAAAATGTTTGTCACAGCTGATGAGATGATAATCGATAGGGACTTGAGTATTAGTGGGTGAAGTCCGTCTGGCCCGGGAGGCTTTGCACCATCGAGGTTGACGAGTAGCTGATGTACTTCGACTGCATCACATTGTAGGCTGTCGAGCAAGACTTGCGCAACCTGTGCCGGTACTGGAACAGCCGCTGATTTACTGGAAAATACAGTGAGGAAGTGCGTAGCCAGGGCGTCCGCGCGCTCCGCGCTTGAAATGAGTGTCTTAACGTCTAAGCTCTCTAAGACCGGTAGGTCGTCCCCAAGTTTCAGTTGGCGTTTTAAGTAGGCAAATATTCGCTTGGGTGCAGTTGTGGCCGAGGATGCTAGCTTCTCTTCGAACTGCCGGCGTTTCTTGATCTTTGCGGCGTTACATAACTTACGCTGTTTCTTGTACACCGTGTAATCTTCATCACAACCCGAGCTGATGTATCTATCCCAAAGTGTACGTCGTCGCGCTAACTGTCTGTATTCCCTATCAAACCAATGCGGTTTGATAGGTCCGATTTTTAGATACTTAAGGGGAACGAACCGAGTACAGAGCGAGTTAAGCTTCCCCTTTATTAATGACCACCAGACCTCAAGTGTCGCATCATGTGGTAGTGTCCAATCAGTCTGACTTGCGGCTTGGACGAGTCCGTTGAAGTCCGTCTTCCAATAGATGAATGTCGGCTTCTGTTGATTGTAATATGGTAACGACAGTTCTAAGCTTGCTACAATAGAGCAGTGGTCACTGTTAGCCAGAGGTTCGATGACTCTGATCTCTTTTAGCTTCTGCTCGCAGCTCGTAAAAATGAGGTCCAGACAAGATGCCGAGTACGGAGTTACGCGTGTCGGTTGGATGACATGTTGCGTTGCCCCAATTTCAATAGTCATTTTAGCGAATTGAGCCTCAACGTTGCCATGACCGGGAAGAAGTCGAACATCTGGCCAAATTATCTTAGGTAAATTTAGATCCCCCATCAGTAAGAACTGAGGGCGGCTCATGTGCTTCTGTACATGTGGTATCCAATCGCAGCAACGGTTTAATGGGCTCCGGTAGATAACCCCCACTATTAGTTCTGCGCGCCTGAGACGGATTGTGCACCACAATTGCTCGCATAAACTATCCTCGTTCCGATAGGTACTGATAAGTTTGCCAGATAGTGACGATTTTATGTACAACAGAACACCACCGTGAGCCTCTGATTTTCGGTCACATCTGAAACAAGAGTATCCTGACAACACGACTTTTTGGGGTATGACGTCGGAGTTCAGCCATGTCTCTGCAAGTCCTAAAATGTCCGGCCGCTCCGAGACAGCGAAGCGGCACAGTTCCTCACGTTTGTTCATTAGGCTGCACACGTTGGCGAATGCGACCCGGAGGTCCTGGGAGGTACTGCAGGACGTGCCTGGAGGTTGAGCAACCGGTTGATACGGGTTGGTACACCCTTCGTGATCACCCGAAAATTTACAATTTGTAAGTCAGTCTCACCTTCCTCTGTACGGCGTTTGAGCTCAATGGCCGCAGTCTTCAAACGATCCCTGTCCTCGGGTCCCAAGTCTCGGCGGATGTGAACTTTTATGCCTTTCAGCCTTGACAGACGAGACAGTATGAGCTGCGACATATTAGGATTTGCAAAGGTGATCCTCAGAGGTCGACATGACTGGTTAGTTTTCTGGCCAAGTCGGATTACTTGCTTAATCGTCACACTGTCCTCGCCCACATCCAAGAGTCTATCGATGAGCCCCTGGAGGAACTCAACATCGTGATCATAACGTATCTGAGGGTTTTCATCTTTTGACTCCGGTACGTGGAAGACCATGAGATTATGACGCCTCAGCGAAATCAGTGATGAACCTGTGGGAGCAGAACTAGAGGCGCTTAACTGATTGGGCAGTTGTTTATCAGCAGGTGACATCTGAACTCGATTACGTGGGCTCTTGCGCTTTTGAGTGGTCCATGGATCCTCGGTGTTCAGAAGTTCACAGACAGGCTCTGAGAAATTCACGGACCGATCAGTGAAGCGGCATTTCGTAGCTTCTGAGTCTGAGTCTTCCATCGGTGGGAAACATTGAACCTGGGGTTCGGCCGGGGTCGAAGACGCTGGTGGTGGTGCAGATCGCGGAGTGGCAATAGAAGGCGAGGAGACAGAGGTGCTTTCACGAGGGCGTTTGATCCCACGTGGCGAACGGTTTGTTTCCATCTGAAAGAGAGATTTTCCCGTAGTTGTTTGCGGTCGCTGCGTATTCTGATGTCTTGTACCGCGACATTTATCACATATAACTTGAAAAAACCGATGTCGGATGTCGAGCGATTTTCGAAACACGCCAATGCACGAAATGTGGAACAAAACATCACAGCTGAAGCATCGAAGTGCATGAGCCTTATTTCCTACAACTTTCGAACACGAACCACAAGTAGCTTGAGACAACATCACAAGCTGGAGCAAATCCAAGATGGCGGACAGAGATGGCAGTATGGCAAATCAATGAGGTCTGCGGAATTAGCCAAAGAATAGCCGCCAAATTTGCACCGCTTGAAAAATACGCCAAAAGAAGAATAATGGTGCACAATGCACACAGATAAAACGCTGCTAACACAGTAATCTGAGGCAAAAGCAGTATCCAGCACACGTTGATCCAAAAATCCGCGACGTCCGTGGGTACAGTCTACGCCTACCATGCACTACTATACACGGCAGAGAGCCGTATAGTCATACTTCATTCACCCAGGGTTTTCCATTTTAGTTGTTATGTGGCATAAAAGGAACCTTTCCTTACCCATTGTTGTGAGCCTTCAGGTGCATTGATGAGGTGAATGAACTATCATACCTACATGGTGTATTCAAATTATAACTTCCCTCACTTGTTGTGCTATTGTGTGACGATGTTACGACAAAGCCTTCGGAGCGCCTTTCTAAAGAGACCGGTGTGTTGAGTACCGGTTTGATCTGAACAAACGAAACCACCCTGTGTCACTAACCAAAGGTCGGACCTGAACTTCCGAGTGAGCGTTAGCATCATGTCATTAAAGTACACCTGAACCAGGTGAGGCCCGAAAGCCGAACCATGTGAAATATGGTATACTAACTGAACAGGGGTGGACAATTGAGTTTCGACTCGCACTTACATCCATTGATAAAGAAAAAAGATAGTTGTCACTTCACCCATGGGCGAACAAGTTTACGAAGGATGGCGAGGTAATTTAGGTGGTCGAATGCATTAGAAAAGTTCACAGTTAGACGGCATCGAGTACAGTCACACTACCAACCACTGAGGTTCGATACCACATGAATTCCGTTGTGCAGCGGTGTTTTGCACGTGAGAACTGAAATGTTGTTACTCCAGTGTTGCAATGTAAGATATCTCCAGAGAAATCATTAGCGTTCCAGAAATGATAGTTTCCACCAATTTTAATTGCATTGGGAAAAGGACAACTGCGAGATAGTTTGCAGATTGTGAGAGATTATCACTTAAAATTGAGTAAAACATAGCGAGTCCGGCCAAGCCTATTGATGAACACTCTGCAACGAATGCGTAAAAGATGCGCTTCCAAAGTCATCTGTGAACCGATGACTACATGTAACGTAATTGTCATGGCTAAGCTGATGTTAACAAACTAGAAGACATAGTTGAAATTCGATCGAGTATAATGACTTATCTTCACATGAATTACCGATGCGATTTCTGTAGGATTTCCGGCATAGTTGTAAGCACAATTTGCCAAAGGCAGCCATACGATTTTTTGTTCAACGACTGTGGTGAGACATTTGAATTACAAAAAATAAATATTTCCTTCTGGTCAATTCTAGCAACAAGCACAGTGAAACTTCCGCTACTAAGTTGTGTGCGAAGTGTTTCACTGAACTGAGCTATGATGAAGTGGTTCTTCGGTTGACATCCTTTGTTAGAAAAATGGTTTATTTAGTCATTAATCCGGGTGCTAGTGTCAAAGGATTAGTAGCATCTGCTCCAAACGATGTTTAGTCTAAATATATGGACTTCTGCAGGAATTCCAAGGTTAACTTAGAGGACAGTAGCGTATGGAAATCACAAAACTCCGGTTGCGCAACGATTCCTGGCAGTCAAGTTCGGTCAAGTAGTTGGCACATACCTGGATGAGCGATGTGTTGTCGATTGGTTCTATTTCAGCTCGTCATTTACATTAAACTGCCTCGAAAACAAAACGATCTGTATCCATAACTCTCTTTTGTGGCTTTCGTAGCTGAGACACTGACTTATGGGTGATTGCGGTAGCCGGTATTGTTAACTATTAGTTCCAATATGAGTTAGCCTATGCTCCAAACCAAAGCATCACACAGTTCAACCACTGTGTCGCAATACAAAAGATTTGTGAAAAACGAACATGCTAAATATTACAAAATATAAAAACATTTAACACAATGCTTGCGAACTATTAGGTTTCAACAACCGCCTATATTACCCTGAAGTATCACGATAGGACTGATATCCAGATGTAAGAATTCGCAAGTCTGGAAAAATAAACTCCGCCCCCTGCACAATAAGCATGTGTATGACAGCGAAGTTTAAGTTACAGATAATGATCATTCAGTGTAGTGTACTGTTGTCAATCATGCACCGGTGAATCAACTTGAGCTCACGAAACAGAACAGTCTGCGATTCCTTTCTTGCAAGATTCAGCAAAAGCTAGACCCCATTAGGAAAAGCGCCTGTACGGAAATTTTCGGAATATGTAGTACTGATCTGAATCTGATTGGAGCAAATATACCCTATGCACACCAACTAAATAGGTCCGTTTGTTATTCTTCAACAAAGAACTCACTTATTTTTCATGCTGCGATTCCAAAGTGGAGCTTGCTCGGACTGTAAAGGAAGGCAACAGTTTAGGAAATCGGTTAGAACATGCTGAACTTCAATTGGTTGTTTGCCTACAAAATCCTTCACTAGGAATAGTATAGTATGCTAGGGTGCTATAATCCATTGTTATGAGATGCCCAAGACTAATGAGTTCAATAGTGGATGTTTGTGAGAAGTGTAAAGTTCGTAGAAAGTAGAAGTCACGATTACAATTCACGCACAATAATGTGCCTCGACGGGGAATCGAACCCCGGTCCACGAATTTCCGGTCCGCTGCTCTACCACTGAGCTACCGAGGGCTGACGATTAGGTGCGCAAATTTAAACACGACTTCTGCTTGGTGTGCGACGTATTGCCAATAAGCTCACAGTACCTGTCCTGGTGTTGCAGATTGGCTCACTCCCCCGTCACTTCCCATGAACCGAAGCAAATGTCCTTCAGATGTCCTCTATTAATCTATCATCGCCCATTCGATTCCAGGTCGAGGCCCATTATTGTGCGTGAATTTTAATCGTGACATCTACTTTCTACGAACTTTACACTTCTCACAAACATCCACTATTAATCTACCATCTCCCATTGGACATCTGAAGGACATGTACTTCGGTTCATTGGGAAGCGACGGGTGAGTGAGCCAATCTGCAACACCAAGACAGGTACTGTGAGCTTATTGGCAATACGTCGCGCACCAAGCAGAAGTCATGTGTTTAAATTTGCGCACCTAATCGTCAGCCCTCGGTAGCTCAGTGGTAGAGCAGCGGACCGGAAATTCGTGGACCGGGGTTCGATTCCCCGTCGAGGCACATTATTGTGCGTGAATTGTAATCTTGACTTCTACTTTCTACGAATTAATGAGTTCATCAGGAATTATTCGTTCGTTGTAGTAAGCGCACAGATCCGTTTACCAAGCAGCGTGCGTGAACCGTTTGACTTGAAATCGCTATAACATTCTGTGATGACACCCTGGACTTGGTTGATGTGGTGTTGCGTCAATGGTCCAAGGAATGATTGGGCATCTAGATTGGCAGTGGCCTGATTGTATTCGAATTAAAAAGTAGTTTCCGAAACAAGCCGAACATTTTGATAAAAACCAGTACTAACGACGGTGTCTACTATTTTCAGAGCTTTACGCTAGCAAGTTACAGTCCGTAAAAATGATTGACTTTTAACCAAAACTGCAAAATCGGATGGTTTGATTGTTTCATGGTATTTTTCACATTACTTATAGTTACTTCGTACAATATGCTTGGTATTGACATTGAAAAGATAGCATAAATGTCACGCAGTTCAATCGGACGGTTTATCGTGTCGCGCGGTAGTAACGTTATTGCGGAATGAAACTAACTTAGTTGGCTGTTACCGTGTGAGCTCTGTGGGTCTATTGCTCCAGTTTAACTCTTTTTCGTGTCGCACGAAATGACACATTGTTCCTATGTCTGCAAATGTTCAGCTACGTCAAATACCATTAAAAACGTTATTTTGCTTGCCTTTCGGCAACGTTGCTGCTACATTGAAAGACAAGCGCAAACCTTTGTCTTCACTATATTCTTCTCGCTGAAGCTTCCATGTGGGCATCTGAAGAATCTTCCACAAAAATTAGAGGAGGTGTACGCCATGGTTGAACGGTTGGCCAATTTCCGATCTTGCGAATGCACTTTGGTGAGTCGGACAATAAAGAATTAATATTGACAATACTCTTTTACACATTTATTTGCACTACGTTTAGAGTAGTCAGCTTCAGTTGAGCTAAGGCCTTTAGCTCGCCGTGATTAACCCTAGTTCAGAAGAGTACTACGAACTGACAGCATATTGAGGCTTGTCAATTTTAAAACTGCGTGTAGCTCACAGCTTATGCTTTGATGCTCATCGTGTCTAAGTCTCGGATGCATCTTTCATTCACTATCGTTTGAACAAAGAGCGGCATTACACTAATGTCTCTTGCACACCTTCTCAGTGGTGATCATTATCCCAACCGGTACGATGAATTACATTCACTGACGGCTCATTGCTTTCGGACACTCGGTAAGACTGGTCATAGCATCTTAATACAAATTGCGCGATTTCGTACAAAAAAATGAACAAGGATTTATTACGGGATAAAAGCAAGTGCTTGACACGTACCATAGGATGTATGGGGTGAATACGATGAAAGCAAAATATATGTGAGTCATCTTCCAAACGTCTGCCGAGATGAATACCGTGATAAATAATATCAAAATTAAAACAAATCGAGCGTAAACGTTCAGAAAGATACTGGGGTGCAGTGGTCGTTGACATAACACGTGAGACAAGTAAACTATGCTCGCTCACCTGGGTCCATTTGATACACCAATCCTGTATAAAAGCATGCTTGGCGTAATCCACAACAGAGAATTTTAGGTAACAAAGTGCTGGGAGCTAAGAGCAACATCTAATAGTTCTTTGAAAAAGTCCAAGGTATGGGAGGATACAACTGAGTCTGGGAGTGCCTTCCAACGTTGGCAAACCCGAATGGAAAAGTAATTCCGTCGACACCAGACGGCTAGCTTGTTCCTTTAATTTTAAGCAGTTACCCCTGAGCTGCGTGTTGTGGGTAAGTTTCAGCAAATGGCGGCACACGTAATTGGGGTCATTCAGTATCTGATACGCTAATATGAGATCCCCGCGCAGCCTTCGATGGCGTCCGCTGAAAATTCCAAGCAACTGCAACCTTCGGTGGTAAGTGTGATAGCTCAGGCTCTTTACATTCTTTGTTGCTCTTCGTTGAGGTGCCTCTAACGCCTCAAGGTCACGCTTCAACCACGGTTGTCCTGCTTGGATAGCGTATTCAACATGCGGTCACATATAGAGATTGTGCAGCATTTGGAAGATTGATGGGTCAAATCGCCCGAATGACGTTCGCAGCACACCGACGTGGTGGTTGCCTCTTTTCGCAGCTACCTCAGCCAGTGTTGAACACTTGAGATCGCTCTGAACGATCACACCAATATCACGTTCCTGGGAGCTGGTCTGCATCCTGTTTGTCCCAAGTAAATATGTGTAGTTATGTCTAAGGCGGAACTGCACGACGCGACATTTATCTACCTTGAATGGTAGGGCGTTTTGAACTGACCAGTTCGACACAGTGTTAAGATCGCACTGCAGCCGTTCGTGGTCGTCCGCTCCACTGATCCTTCTCCAGATCTTGATATCATGAGCGAAAAATTGGAAATCGGAAGCAACTGATGTCGCCAAATCCTTAATGAACACCAAGTATAGACGAGGTCCAAGCACCGAGCTTTGTGGTACACCACATACCAGCTCGATTGCATCGGACAATGATTCTCGGACTCTCACCTCTAGCCGTCATTCCTGTAGAAAATTGCCATTTCAACTCAGGATTGGGTCGCCAATGCCGTAATTCCGAAGCTTCTGAAGGAGACTACGATATTCTAAGCGATCAAACGCTTTTGACAATTCCAGGTAGATGCCATCGACTCCTGCTCCATCATTAACAGCTTCAGTCCAGCTATTACGTGATAATTAGGTTAGTATTACATTAATGCTTTTGCAGAAAGCCGTGTTGCTCTGTGGCTATTATGTTGTGACTTTCCAGGTAATGCATCAGCGCATCTGCGATGATGGATTCCATAACTTTGGATAGTACGGGAAATAGTGTTATTGGACGGTAGTTGGCAGGATCAGTGCGACTGCCTCCTTTATGTATAGGATAGATGACCCCTCGCTTCTATACTGGTCGAATACGGTTCTCTTCTAAACATCGATAGAAAACAGTCAGTGGTTCTGCTAGATCACTAGCTACCGCCTACAGAGCTTTTGGTCGGATGTTATCGACTCCAGGAAAACTGTGGATACGCAAGGATAACAACTTCTTCAACATGGCTTCCGCAGTGATAGTGATATTGTCTAAACCCAACGGTAGAGGAATAGAAAGGAGGAGAACATTTTGGCTCGTTACCTTCTGGAAATTTGGAAGTAATGAAGGCGTAGGAGATCAGCTGCTTCCATTGCTGATCGCGTGCATCCATCAGCTGTGGCTACAGTGCTGGAATCCCCCGCTTCACATTTCGAAGGTCGGTAACGTGCCTGCACAGGAGTTTGCGGTTAGTGCAGAATCGCTTCATTAACTCTTGCTGATGCCTGACCTTGTCTTCGCGGATCAGTTTCACACAGAAGTTACGATGTGTCATGTATGCAGTCCAGGTTTCGGCATTCGAGCAGTCCTGGTGATCTCGTCATGCTAAATCCATCCGGGACATGCATGTACGTGTTCTGCTCCTCAGAAATAACTTACGCTTGTTTTTGGATTGGAAGGAGTTCTGTTCCGATGCGTGCGCTACCAGTGTGCTAAACGACCTTGTAAAGGTCTACCAGGCAATATCTGGGGGGCATTCGGTTAATAAAGTCCAAGATGTATCATTAACAAGTGTAGGTAACACATTATAGTGCGTGAGAGTATGCACTTTATCATCCTACTTTTCAGGCTATTCCGCATAGCATATGTAGTTAAATAGTAGATTAACATGGTCACAACGACCCAGTGATGTGCTTCTAACTATCCCGTCAACCATCAGTTCTTCTTCAGTGAGCACAAGACCCAGTATCGATGGGTTGTTAGCAGTCCGAAATCTGGTGGGAGAGGTTACGTGGTTGTACAGAGGGTGGCTAGCAATTAGCTCCTGCAAGCAGGCTTTAAACGGCGTATCGTGGGTTGTTGACGTTTCTATGTCGTGCATGATAAAGTCTCCAACGATAAGAAAGTGGGTGTAGGACTTGCTCAATGCAAACTGTAAGATGTGCTCCAGTTTGGAGTCCATTTTCGAGGCTGAGTTTGGTGGGCGGTAAATCACGGCTAGTAGGCATGTGTCCTTGTTTCTCAACCATAGGCGGCACCAAAGCGAATCGGGAGCTCGGATTGCAGGGTGATCGAGAACTTCACATCAGAGGTTTGTATTATAGTGAATAATCACACCGCCACCCCTTCCGATTCTGTCGGTCCTAAGCAGTGACACACAGGGTAAATTGATCTCAGAATCGGTTATCTCAACGTTTAACCAGGTCTCTGTAATCATGAGGAGGTCCCGCGGTTGTGAGGCATGGAATTCTCTAAGTTCGGCCAATTTACTTAGAAGGCCTTGGGTGTTTATGTAGATAAAATATAGGGTTTTTGTTGTAAGGAGTACTATTAGGATTGCCGCGTTGCTCCACTGTTTCTTTTGTGCGATCTTTCCATGGTAGATCAGGTAATATGCACACTCCGCTTGGTGGTTTGCGCAGACGAACTGCTGAGAGCAGGATAGCCTCTGTCTCATCTGTTGAGTCTATTGTTACTCGAAGAATTCGAGGTTCACCGGAATGCACTGATGTCGGGTGACGCGTTACGCGTTGCAGCACAGCAGGCTCAACGGGAATACCAATCGCATCGCAGATGGAACTTCACTGTTAGCGATCGTCTTGCAACTTGCCTTTTATTGTGTCAGGTTTGGACTCGGTAACTTTGGTGCACACGAGATTTAACGCAGCGTGGTTTTGTCTAGCAAGTATCGGTTTTATAGTTTTTGCCGACAATTTGGGCTGTGTAGAAGACACCTCTGGAGTTAGCGGTGTAAGCTGCTTTGTGCCACGTGTACTCGGTAAAGAAGATGGATCTACGTGTGTAGCTCTCAGTGTGTTTGTCGTGGCAACCGTTGCGTTCATTACTTGCTTGTTATCTGCACCGGATTGCCTTCGGCTCTGAGTTGTCGGTGTTATGACTGGATCTACAGGTGAAGCGTCTATGATTGGAGAAGTGGAATCAGACATGTTTGAGGCATATCCACTTATAGGAGTGAGGTAACTCAGTGGATTTAGAGACACAGACGCTGCAGTGTGGTTGGAGAGTCTAGCTCTTTTCTTCGGCCTTAACTCAGAACTTAATTTGGCTGGTTGAGGTATTAGCGTGGCCATATTTACCTCCGTGGGACCGATCTTAGTATTTACAAAATGCACGATTAGCTCAGTCGTCCTATCTCACTTTTCATGAACAAAGCTAAACAGTTGACAACTGGAATGACTTGACATGTTGGACAAAAGCAAACTTTGTCAGCAACTTTGTTTGTCCGTTTCACTTCTTGGACGGATTTGCCTACACATTGCGAACAGTATGATATGACAGTATGATATAATGCACATAGAATAGGTTATTCCGGTCTTGAGGACCTTACTGCAATTGCCTGCGAAACGTAGGCGACGTTGAACCATTTAACTAATTCTACTGATATATGTACTCACGGTCAGTAATGGGGCAGCGAACTAGGAAGGACCACATATGGTAGTGATATCATATAAAGATTCCACAATAATAAGACGGAATGGAGCAACTGAATGTACGCTGTAACAGGGGTAGCAAGAGAACAGAGATACTGACGCACAATGTATGACTTCGCTTCACTTTTCGGTGAGCGGCAATCGGCGCTGGTTTGAGGTCAGAGGGGTCAGACGTGTCGCGTCCAGATGAGTCACGTGTTCCTCAGGGTAGATAGGCGACATGTGTGTTATCGATCCAGCCGGTAAGTGGATAGGCCGCGATGCGACGTAGGATTGAGGCAAAGCAAGATGACTTGAAAAACACTGTCTAATGACGACAGTGGCTGTTCCAAAAGCAGACCAAATTAACAACTAGCGCTTTGTACAGAGACTAGAAGGAATGGTAGTAAGATGTTCGGGTGACTCTCAAAAAGATCTTTAAAATAAGACCACATGAGTTCTTGTGCGATGAGGGAAAAAATAAAATCGGCGATAAAATTCAAACACGGTTGACTTCGAAATTGCAAAAGCACAGTTTGTTGGTGATCCGCGATTGACAGATGCAAAAGATGAACACTGGTAAGAGGAGCTCGCAGAGCCAAATCGAATGATAGCACGTAGATATCTGTGAGAATAAATCCGAAGGATAAAAGGCGAATAACGCAGAACACTTTTTTGCGACCGCTCGGTAGACGCACACTCAACTAGTGGGTGGTGTGCATAAGCCTTACTGTCAACAGCTTCATATGAAACTGTTAACTCAATGAGGGAACAATGCGAAGATCACACCACCCAGCTAGCACACACGTACAAATCGTCAGCTTCTAAAACAGCCCCAAGCCGGTGCACTATTGTTCTCATCCATTGCATCATGCCCACCATTGTTTACTTTAATTCCGTTTGGAGTCATCTCGGAGCAGTATGCTGGATCCCTTCTGTTACATTCACGTCAAAGCTACTGTTCCGGCGTTTGGTGCTTGTCCACGAGAGGCTGCATCCTGAATCCATCAGAAATGTTGAAAGATGTCAGCTTCACTTAATTACCTTGTGAGTGATCTGATAATAAGCGGTTGGGTCCGATCTGTCCTTTTAGCTTGTACGTTCCACTGGATGCACGGCTTCAGGTAGATGAATAGCGAGACATGATCCATGTTATTAAATAAATGGACATATATGGTCTCTCTTCCACCTTCTACAAGACACGTTTGTTTCAGCACAGCCAGATCAGCTCACACTTTCTAGTTACAATACTCACAGCTTCATAGAGCATATATACAAGTGTTGTTAGAGAGAAATTTTAAGTATTCAGCAGTGGTACTCACTAAAGGTGTAGGAAGATCGGTTCATAGTTAGAATACGTTCACTGCATGCGTTTTGAGTAAAAACGGATCAGGTTGCTGTTGTGCACATTTACCAACTATGGACTGCAGGATGGAGGTGCGTCGACGGTCGTCGCCGTTCATACGGCTGACGCAGAACGTTGTACCCTCCAGTGCACACATCAGTACTTCAGACGAGAAAAGACAGCGGAAAAAGTACGCCAGGATACGCTCAGCACCTTCATCCACCAATTAATGAAACGACTCACTTGATAGGGGTAAGGTCTACAGTGCGGCTGTTTGACTCACTACAGTATGGAGCAGAAACATGGTCGCTTAAAATTAGGGACCTTACGAAAGTGGTGGTCTCAGCTTTCAGTGCACACGTAAAATCATTTACATATGATCAGAGCACTGGGCGGGTGGTTATGTGATCCTCCAGATTGCATTCGAAAAGGATCCTCCAGTATCCGTTGCATCCGAACCACCCATTTTGGTCGATTCAAACCAGTCGCATGTTTGTTGATTGCTTTCCTCGATGGGTGTTTTTTCACAATAGCATCAGGTTAAGTGAAGCTGCTGTCCTCAGTCAGAAAGATTAGAATCCGTATAATGTGTGTGTCCTAGAGGTTGTCAGTTTAAAATTCTTATCATCCTGTAGGCAGAGTCCACCAACGATTAGAGTACGTATAAGCATAATGTATCCGCGAGGGTATTGTCGTTCTCGGATGCCGTCTCCTACTTTATGCTGTTGACATTTTCATTAGAGAAGTACATACTCGTTAGTTTTCCGATCAGTTTCTTTCGACGAGCGGCTGTGGATTTTATTTGAGTGTTCCATTTCACAGTGCCTTGAGCTGAGAGAACAGCACTGCGAAAACCCCAACCACGTGTGAGTAAAAGAGCTCAAAGTAACTGGTTTATACAGACTGGACAAAATTCCACACAGCCTGTGACATAAACGCTGGACAACACACGGATGAGATTGTGGTGAAAGATTAGGCTGCCATGAAACCAACCGTTCTTCTTCGGTTTACATGCAATTATTGTGTACTGATGGTAATCGCAATTAGTTGCCGAGTGCTAGTAAGCACTCGAAGTCACAAAGATAGGTCTGTGGAATACTGGTCATGAGTTTAGACCCTTCACGGTGTCATGGGTAGGAGTAATGCTGACCAGTTTTCACTTGAAACGGGGTCGAGTGAATACTGTTCGAAGCATTAGAATTTGATTGTTAATATCCTATGAGCAAAGCCACTTGACGTGTTGTTAAAAAGAATTCAGACTATCACGACACATATGAATGCAACAGCATGACTAAGCCGTTCAGATAGGTTACTAATTCACTCATAAAAATGCCAGCATTTTCTACATTTCGAGCAGATGCATGACAGTGCATGTATGTAGCTCAAATTTAAAAATAATCAGATGTAACCAGGACCTCGTCAACCATCATTCGTATTCCTTGACAGCCGAACCCCTTTATTTGACCACCAAAAATTTCCATTACAGTCGCTTACTACTCCCTACCAACCAAGTGAATCGATTGAAATTGAGTTCCTGTGCTCACTTCATTACCAAAAATGGTGATGTTCCACGAAGAACGCGGGATGACCACGCCCCGCCTTTGGGAACTACCCCTGAGCAATGCTGGGAGACCAGAATCATGATATTCTCCAGTTTACTACAGTGTCAGTGCCCCCAGCATATACTATACACTAAAATTGATAGAGCCGTTTATAAACCTTTATCAAAATGTATACCGAAAGTGAAATTAGCTTCTCGGAGTCGTGTTTCTGCAGCAAAGATCGCAATAACCATGTTCCGATACAGTGACAAACCGACGCATATGTGCTACTTATCATAGATGTTATGCAAAATTTATAAGAGGCAAGCAGTGTTTTTTACCTTGCTTCATTAGATGGATGTAATGGGGACAAACCACACAAATAACATCTATCCTTTGAACTGCTTCGGCAAGTGTCCCGAGATGTCGGATACCTTTACCAAATCTGCACGCATCACGTTCCTAACTAACAATCATGTTAAGGCTGAGACACATGTAATTCTATCACTAAAACTGACTAGTTGTCCACTTCCAAAAATACTAAGATACATTATTTCAGGTTGCAAGTTGCGTCTACGCTTTGTATTAATCTCTCTAGTGGACTATGACTATTCCTGGGCCATGCGATTATTGGTCGCAAAAATGACATCACAAATCACATGCTATGGCACATCCGCAACACGTGAATGCTCATAATTATTTGAATTTGTGCCTGAATTCGTCGCTGGCTCACTGAAAGTGCAGTGGAGTCGGAATTGAGACAACATTTAGTGTGTCACAGAAGCAGTCAGTGAACTCGCAATTCTGTAGCATCAAAGATTTTCCTCAACTGGTGAATGGAAGTTTGAATATTTGCTCGTTTTACCTGAAGCGATGCTCACTGGTAAGTAGTTTGAAACTATGCATCAAAACTGTGAAAGTGTCAGTTTGGGGCACGTGATCCAAAAAGAAGAAGACCCATGCAAACGCAATACGCTGCGTTTGTTTGGGTCTATTGGAAACAGTGACCGGACTAGCTTTGTGGAATCCGTTCAAGTTCCCCATTAACAATTATCAAACATCACCCAGTGCCCCGCAAATTGGAATTAAATCGTTATTCCCGGCATTCGAAAGAATAATGCTTCGGTAGTAATGAAGTTGGCTTACAGTTAGGTAAACTGTTTGTAGCAGACTGCAAATAATGCCCAGCCCTTTAAGTTAAGAAGTTGTCAGTATAAAGGAAAGCTTCATTGTATTGCGTGGGCAGAACACTGTCAGGTGGCCTGGGTCTATACAGGAGAATGATTAGTTTTATAGCGGAGGTAAGAATACCCCACCACTCCCCGTGGTTTTGTGAGTTTTATTCCATTCACCCCTATTCATCCCGTCCTTCTTTACGGTTCCCCACATACGCTTTCTGTTGCCTCACGTTTGCGACTATCTTGGGTTTTTCCCTTACCCTGTACCTTTCGCTCGTTTGTGAGACATCGTATCGATCCTTCGCCCCTGGAATGACTAGCTTTGATTGATCGCTTGTCAGCTTCCCTGCATAGCCTGTGTATATGCCATAATTTGAATCATGCCATTGAGTTGCACACACAGACGTTTGGTGGCCGGTTGGGCGTGCGGCGTGAACATTGTTTTTTTACCCGGTCGTTCGTGTTCTCACTACCGTTAGTGGGTGGAAGCAATTGTGGGGTTCCGACACAACAATTAGGGTTCGCAATCAAAGCCTTTGGTTCAAAAAACCTTACCCCAAGGAAGCGGGGTTTTGGTACTGGACTACGGACAGCCCGTTGTATGGAGTAAGAAGCCACCCTCACTCCAACCCCCAAACTGAAAAGCCAGGAGACTGAGTTTGTCTGACCACTAACTATTGGCCAATCTGGTATGAGAGGCTCTGAAGGTGAAAAAGCACCACCCAGCATAGCTCAATGGATCACTGAGTCGCACAAACCATCGCACCACGTTAAGTTCCAGTCTCGTGGCTACGGAAGTAAGGAACACAAGTTTCTCGCAGTGTACATAAAACCAGTTTCACACTATGAAACATGCATTCAACAAACTGGAACACAACGTACACAAGCTTGGAAATAAAGTTTAACCCCAAACCTTAAGACATTCTCCGCTTCGATTCTAAGCGTGTTTGTCAGTAATAAACAGGTCCGTTGATCGGCTGTATTGCATCTGCCCCCATTTTCGTCTCTTTTTTCCACAATACTCTGGCCCGATACAGTCCTCAGAACAAATTCAACCAGATAAAGTGCAGACACAACCGAGTAAATGGGACACAGTGAGTTTGTTGCCCTATGTAGTTTTCCACTATGGGTGAGTTGAAAAGACCACCGCATAAACCAAATTGATTACCCTGAGTTGTACTGAAATTCCATGCAGTTCCTAAAAACACAAACACAACTTGTTAATTTAAATAAACTCCGTCATTCGGTTAAGCGTATCTGCTTCCCTTGTTGCTTACTGGATATTTCCGCATTTTCAAGATTATGCGGTTAGTTGAACCGTGAGGCTCAACTACTCAAGTTTGGCAAAATCATGATCAAGCTCTATGAAATCAGAGTAACTGACGGATGCGTTTCGTAGTGGAACCACAATTAATAAACGAAATACACTTAAATAATTGTACTCGAGTTCTTACTTCACCACCATGGAATGTGCGCACAGTAATTGGCAGAGGTGAATTAAGAACCATAATATTCGTCAGCACCATTTGCAAAAGCAATACACCAGTTACTAAAAACTACACTTCGTTAACATACAATTAGGATAACCTAGGGTTTATGGAATAATAATAAGAGATAACGGGGGCTCGTTGCGAAACCCAAATGCCCCAGTAACTATTCAGGGATAAAAGCGCAGCATGGCATGCAGCTAATTACCTTGCGGGGATAAGGGCGTAACACTGAGTTAGCTTCCTTGCAATAAACTCAAACCGAAGATAACTTGTTATTCAGATGGGGCGTAAATTTGTTGGGACTACATCCTAATTTGAAGTTAAACCAAGACCTCCCAGACACTTGTATTCTGCTTTCACCTGCGGTTCCAGGTCATATATACCTTTGCAATCATTATTCCGATTTTCGTGGATCTATCCAATATGACGGCATGAATTCCTACTGTAATAGTTAACAGGAGCGGAGACATGAGGCTGAAGCGGACGCTGCCTCCTCCCTTTGGGTGTGCGCACTCATGTGCCTCAATGCCTTCCATTATGTCCAGTCGAATGACCACAACTACGAAATGTTTCCTCCTTAGCGATGTTGATGTGATGTCTGTGGATGCTGCGAAACGGGGTGAAGCGCAGCTTACTGTATCAAAGGCAAGCAAGGTTTGACTTTCGTAATCTAAAGTGGGAGCAGGCCAGCCGGTTCGCTATCGGGTCGGTCATTCTAACGGCAAATTAAACGTGAAGCGTTCACTCCAGCGCCCCCCTGTATTGGCTCAGCAGTACGCTGCTCTGTTCAGCGAAAGTAAACGATGACATTTTTTCACTGGTTGGCGGCATCCGGTTTCGGATTTGCCTGTCACTGTGGCCAGCTACAGGACGCCTGCACCTACAGAGGGACCATGGGTGGCTTGCGCTGCGCCACCCACAGCTCCAACTACATATCCCAGATCCTGTGTAAACCCGAAAGAATAAGACCGCGAGGCATGTGGATGGGGGCCACGTTTCATCTACGGAGCCGGCCCACATTCCTTCACAGTAAAACACAAACACGCTGTACTTGGGAATCAAGCGCACACAAGGTGGTGGCTTGACCGTAGTCCGCTCCACACTGAGTGCATGGTACCACTCTGCGAGCCTTACAAGGCCACAAAGTCCGTGCACACTGTCCCCTGCAGCAACGACCAACTCTGGCTATAGCAAGGAAGACTGGTAGCTCAGGTTGTTCAGATGGCTGTTGAACGGTTCGGTGAGCTTGGCAATTTTGTTGCAAACGTTTCGTCACCAATCGAGGTGACATCATCAGTGCACAGTTGAGTGATGTGCAATAGCTATTGCACGTCACTTGATTGGTGACGATACGTTTGCAGCAAAATTGCCAAGCTCAGCGAACAGTTCAACAGCCGACGACCAACTGTCTCCTGGAGCCAGTATGGACGAGGTAGTGGGTAATAGACAGGTAGACACCTTGTCAACCTACACATCAAGCGCAGCAACACCGGGGATATCAAGCAACAGCCAATCACTTGAGGGAAAGATAACAAAGAAAATATATCGAGTGATGCATAAGGAAACTGTGACATAAAGCTTAAATTAATGGACGTATGAAATAATTTGTTTACAAACGAATCCGAGAAAAGCTCACGATATCGGAAAGTATATTTTACGGAAATGTCACAAACATGAAAATGGTTTCAAAATTGACTACAGATGGCTTAAGCGACCTGTGCAAGTTTATAGAAGATAGGTAGGCATTAATATGAGAAAGAAAAGCATTAAGGCAAAATTGAAAACCCACCATCCGAAACAAAGAGACTTAGCATGCAAGCATGCGGTTAGTAAATCGAATGCAGTGTACCTACAAACGCTGCGCCGGTTCTGCCTACGTTCTCTGCAGGACCCGTCGTCGCTTCGGTAGTGGTCCCGAGTGACCTCGCTCATGGCTCACTAGGCCTGCCTGACTCAGGCACTCGCGACCACATGTGTTACAGTACCATGCGCTCGATGTCGATGGAGTACAACCCATCGGTGCTTGCCGCTTCCGCACTTGCTTGTTTCACTAATTGTTACCATACTCATATAGAAGCCAGTTAAGATGATGCAGGCGTACACAGCGGACTGCGGAGGAGCAAGTGCGCAGGGAATGTGGGAGGGATATGATTCGGGACAGAGCAGACATCCACAGAGAAAACAGGGTGCCCCTACTATTGTTTTCAAGTAAGGTTAACCGGATCCAAGGTTTAGTGAATTGAAATCTATACGTGTTTGATCAAAGTCAATGACGATTTTTTTTCTAGAATTTTGAAAGGAGGTAGTCGCGCTCAACTGTGATATGCATTGATCAAAGCTGCACGCATTTAAACACTGGACATTCTGAAGTACGTTGGCTCCAGGTTTCTGATCGTCACCTGGCAGCCGGATTGTGAAATTTTGGCGAGGGAAACAGGGAGAAACGGAAGTAGAGATTGCAACAGCGAAGAACATCTCTTAAAGCTGTGTATCCGCTTTTTATATATATTAAAACAACTGTAATCCGCACCCAGAAAGATCCCTAATTGTAACCAGATTAATGCCCAGCATTAACCCAATCCACCAAACCAGTCGAGTGCAAACCATGGTTTTCCCACATGATAGACGTTGACGCCGGCTATGCACATGAGTCAGTTTTCTACAAAATGGAAAAAGTGTAACCAGCAAGCAGGTAATGCTTCGGTAACAAATGTGATTTTATTTTCATCTGCAGAACCTTGCAGCAAAATCAACAATCACTCCACTGATCAGAGAAGCTTCTACCCAAGTCGGGGAAAGTGTAAGTCTTGTTTATTTTTGGGAAACTTATTTGGCTTTCAATCCAGTAGTTACGTTTTGTATTTTTCCCAATGGTCTAGTTTATCCCCAAGAAAAGTTCTAGGGGTTAATAGCTAATGCCTTGTAACAGATGTCCAAACTGCTGCTACCGTTGGCGAGCTAAAGTGTCATAATGAAGGTGACTGCGTAAATTCAAGTGATTCTCTTCGTACTCGCTTCATCCTCATTGCTATTGGAACAGTGACACTTCACTACCGCTGACAATACCATCATGATGCGTTTGGACAGATGACAAGGAATAAGCGCGACTGCATGCCAACTTTATCCAAAAAAACATAGTTTCCAAATTTGAGGTCCCACAATGATCACAGTAGAGGCATTGTATATGCAGATCTTAAATTTTTGACATTTTCAACTGCGCGTAAATGTACATTAATGTCTGTACACGTTTAAAATTCAGCAACGTGCTTGGGTGATCATCAGGAGGCTACCAAAACTTCAGACATTTGGTTGACAGAGTCACAGCCAGTTGGCCATCACTTTCGTGAGGTGGAAATGTATTCGGTAAACCGATATGCTCCTGTCCCTAAGCCATTGATTCTTTAGGGTGCATGTATCTGCATTTAGCTCATCGGCTGAAGTAACTATTCACCAACAGATAGAGCAGTTATGAAAGATTCACTGTGTCCGGCAATAGCCACTCCTGAATGCTTAGCTAAGAGGCGAGGCACAACAATGCACATTTAAAAGCACTTCTTGATGTTACTGGTAGATCATGAAGAAGGAGAAACCCGATGCAGTTATATACACACGTTTATCACAACGCTACATGGAAAGCGATCACAAATGCGTTGGAACTTGAATTGTAACCTTTTCGTCCCAGTGAGATGACGATGCAATTGTATCACTTACATTAAACGCTATGTAGAAGCAGTCAAGGATTGAAGTGCTAAACATGTACATTGTTGGATAAAAGATATTCCACTACATTTGATTTGCTTGGTTCCGTTATTCTGCTGTGTATTCCGAGTCCATTTCGGATGTTGCTTTCCTTTTAAATCCTTGGTCGCTTATGATTTTCTTGCTGTGGCTGCGCTTGGTGTGAAGGTTGACAAGGTGCCTACCTGCTTAACACCATCCACCTCGATTACTGGCTCCACGAGACTGCCAATCGCAGTCGGAGGAATGTGGTGCACCGTCTTCGTGACGTTGCTTGACTCAAAGATTGGTTCCATGTATCCAGTGTCGAATAGGCTACGACCCAACCACCTCTTTTTGTACGTCTAGTACGCATGACCGCCAAGTTAGACAGTAATCCTGCTGTTGTTCATGTTGAAAGAGCATGATCCAGCTCCTTTGATGAGGCGTGGCTCCCATCCATATTCCATGGGCTTATCCTTTTGGGTTTACGCTAGATAAGTGGTGTGCGAATGGGGCTTCGGGTGGTCAACGCAAGTCACTCATGGTCCCTCTATATGCGCAGACGTGCTATGGCAGTTCTCGGTCATAGGGTAGTGTTCTCCGGTCCGTAGCAGGACTACTGCTTTCTTATTTTAGCTCCATGTCTATAATAATGAATTCAAAGTCACTTACATTGAGGCTTCCCTACGCTAAGCAACAACACACTGACAAACCAATTCAATTGGTGATAAAACCTTTGCAACCAAACTGCCGAAATCAATAAACAATTGAAGCAAATACACATATAGGACACTGTTTACACCCGGAAGATTACCTCCTAAAACTAAATTGCAGTACACCCGCTTACAATAGCTCTTTTAACTTGAGAAAGCAGCGCTTATTTCTTTTGGTTCACAATGGCATGACATTGTACCTCACACGGTTCTTCACTGTCGGGGTGCTGTAATGTATCCATATTCTCTCTGATTACTTGATAGCCAGGTCCGACACAACCTCCGACACCAACTCAACCAGAGGACAACCAAGCAAAATACAGCACATCTGATGCGGTAAGTTTCTTGCTATTCTCATACTTTGAAGATGTGTGAAGAGAACGAATCAATCTAAACTATTGGTGAGGTCTTGATTTGTCTTAGTGTGAAATCTAGTTCTAGTAACCTTGCCCATTACCTGATAATTCACGTGAACACCCTTATTAAATTGCGAATATCGTGGACTTCGATGTCCCTTGCCGGGTATTTACTTTTTCGGTCCGACGAGGTTGTCAGCCTTGGCATATGAAATTCTCTGCACAAAATCTATTACAGGGTAACCCAACTGTATACTGAGGGTGACTGACCGCCACGCGACATGTTGGAATCACAAGTTGTGAACCATTGAGTGACCCCTACCACGTACACTGAATATAGAGGGTCATTAGATATGCGTCTTTGTCGCACCCTCGTGATTAGTTCGGGCACTGCGCAGAGTTACGTCAGTGATTGCTGAGCGTCTACTGCATGTTACAACTGATCCGTATGCCAATCGAGTACGATGGGCTCCCTGTATCTGTAATCCGCAAAGTGGGTGTATAGGAATTAGTTGAAATACAACAACGATACCGCTACGGCACTCTTTGCAACAAGCTGTTCCAATATTTCACCACTCGGCGCTCGAAGCATAGGGGTGAGCTGTCCGCTGTAGGCCCGTTACCACTGGCTTGAATCGGTGCCTGCGAGTGCTGCTTGCTACGTGCACATGAAGTAGTGGCCCCACTATGGGGAAGTTACCCATATGTACTTGCAGAAACTCAGCCATAACACTGACCTCTGAGGTAACTGCTTGAAACTGGATAAACTACACAGCTGTGTAGAATACCGAAGGAATTATTGTTCTCTTCAAGTTTGCCAACCTTTGAACTCTCTAGTAAACGTAGTGGTTTGCTCTCCTAATTTGAATATTCTCAAAAGCTATTGGATGTTGCTCTTGCTCTTTATCACTTTGTTGTCTAAGATGTGCTACTTTGGAATATTTTAATAATGCCTTCAAACCGGATTTATGCATCACCTAGCCCTAAAGAAATGGTACATGAGTGAGTGGTATTGATTTCGTTTTTCTCACGGGCTACGTCAGCCATAACCGCCCATGTGTTGTCCTGATATTAGCATTCACATATCATTCGACACTGCTGTTATTCAGCGGCGCATTTGCTCAATAGACACATAAAATGATAACTCAAATGTCTTTCGTTATTTTACTTTTATCCCTGCCATCCTACGGGACTTGTCAAACAACTGTCTTTCTGGTTGTGATAAAGCATTGTTCGTTATCTCTAACTCTTCTACCTACCTTACTACACATGGGAACTAGAAACTCCTGCTTGCAACCGATGGCAGACGCTCAGTAAATGTGTCTTATCACTAATTTGCTTAACGGATAAGGTAGAATTCATCAACAAGTAGACAGGATAAAAGTGTATTTCTCTGTGTTTCTTTAGATCTTTGTGACACCATCTCCACCTACCTCACGAAGCAGAGAATCATCTATTAATGATTTGCGGAGGGTGAGTTCAGTTTTGTTCCAGAGAACCCATGTTGTTTGACAACTAACTCAACCGGTTTCGTATGTAGTTTTGTTAGTGCGCGAGTCTATCTTTGCCGAAAACTTTAGGGTGTGTCGTTTAGCTAATGTAACAGACAGTTAATGCCCATTTATCGGCAGTTGCGTTGGTATTACGCTTTTCATAAACCAACTGCTTGGTGATCTGTAAAGCATCATAGTCGGTTTGCCAGCATTTACCTGCCAAAATTTTGTACGGAATCCTTTGCGACATTTCCGACATTTTACCTTAGTATTCACTGGGCGTAGCATCTACAGCCCAGTTTTTCACATGCCAAACATTTCTACAGCCAGTGGGCTAGTCTTGCTTATCGCCACCATTGATCACCCAGTCTTCAATACTGTGTTGCCATCTATTCCTCTCAAGGAACGCCAGGGGAGTAAAACGATTTTGAAAACCGCAACACCACCAAAAGATAGAACCCCATCTGTCGTCAAGCCATATGGAAATTTGGACAAACGGGGGGCTTGGCAACATTCCATTCCAAGTAGGAGAAGACGGGGAAGCGATGAGGTGAGTGAGCAGTTTTTATTTTTACCTACAATGCATGGTTTAATGTTGTTTCACAACACGACAATGAATATTGATTGAATTAACCATTGTAATTTCCGGATACTGCCAAGTAAGCTGGCCCAGAACTCGGAGTGTTTAATGGAACTGCTTGAAAGCTCACAATACGCTGATGAAGTGCATTGTTTATTGATGGTCGCCGCACTGATGGCTACATAAAATACCGTTGCCGACAAAGGCCCATATCCAAATCCATAGGTATTGCTGATAGGAGTTAGGATCTTCAAAAGTCAACAACCAAGTGACACTGATAACTGTAGAGGTGCTCGACATCAGAAGTTAAAAGAACGGATGTAGCAGAAAGCACTGAGAAATCATATGCGGATGAGAGCTGATCAAGTTAATGGTTCCAATAAGTGAACTCCAGGTGAGAGATTTAACTAATTGTGCGTAAAAGTTTTACTCGTTATAGGAAGACTCCAAATGCCCATATCACTTGCCATTAGCAATCATTAGTCCATCAAACACGGTAGGGTAAACAAGTTTTACTTGGTTTATCTCAGTTAGATTGCAAGCCGCATAGGTGAGTTACCAATCCGGAAAAGCACCAGACGATCCTTTCCTCCTTTTGGGACTCTTCAGTGGTACAAATTCCTTCGGTCTTCTGCTAGGGATCGAACCCATGACCACTATAGTGAAGTACACCATTAGCCAGAAGCTTATGCCACTGAACCATGGGGCACCATAGCCGGTCATCATGAACTAAATCTAACTGCGATATAACCCGACCAATCCTCCATTGCCAGGCAGGATACTGCCTGGCGTAGAGGACAGTAGGTGGCTGTCCGGATCAGGAGTTCCCTTCCCAGTGTGATGAATACACACAGTATTTGGAAGACTGCTAGTGTTTTTAGTTTTGCTCCAAAAAGTATTTCGTACTTCTGCTGATAGCATATGCCAACATGATCATGAAAATTACTTGGTAAAACGAAAAAAGGTGGAAGAATGTGGGAGATATTCGCGGGAATCGAGATGAAAGAGGCAGCGAAAAGCGCATAAAGGGACAATTGTAGGATTTAAATGGCCGCATAGCACATCGTTTTAATGTTACAAAGAATCCCGATATCCCTCCCCACTTGAGCAAGTCTATCATCTAGCCCGGTCATCACATATTACCCCACACAATGTAGTCCGTAATTCAAGCAAGCCTACGATTAATAATAGGAACACAAAGGGCCCCAACAACTGCAAGGCGTAGTTAGAAGCAGCACGCGCAAGTAGGTGAATAAGATCCAGCATAACAGTCGACAGTACCGGTGAGGTCGAACTAGGCGATGTTAGCAGTCGAGTGGAATGTTCGCTTAGCATTTTCGTTTCATGTTGACGCAGGCTGATGGGGCGTTGAGTCTGACTTCGCGCTAGGGCCGCTACCTTTAAGCGAGGTCACAGAAAGATGGCAGGAAGCGATGCGGCTTATGGTGCTGGCACAATTCGACTTCTATAGCCAAAGGAGATGGTAGTCACACACAAACACAAGCCCTCTAGCGCGCCTCGGTTGCATGTCTACCGCTACGAGTCAGCCGTGCCACCCTCCAGTGTACGTCTGCGTTGGCTCTGCGGGTACAGTCACAGTAATAGCGGCTTCAATTCGGTAATGCATGTGGCCGAACCAGCATGTGTGACCCCGCTCGATTAGAATCAGAACAATTGAAGTGATAAACCATCTTTGCAGGAGCTTCCAGCACTTGGGAGTGGTAGAGTACCAATTGTGCTTTTGGCTCTGCCGGGGTTAAGCGGGTTAGCATGCATTACGTTTAACCCCAACTAAACCACATCGCGAGGAAAGTCTACTTGTATTAACTTCAGATCCAGATTGAGGTAAATTCAGAGGGAGTAATATTCTGCGACAACTTTAGGCATTATTATTATTAATATTATTATTATACCTACTGTACTTCAGTCAATTTAACGAGTCTAGAAGGAATATTTCCTCTCAGCTCACTGCTGTTATCTGGCTTGTAGGGGCTGTCAGAAGAAACTGGACCTGAGATCAACGACACGTCCACAATCGACGGCGTCTACACAGATGACGAAGTGGAAACTGTAGGTTTGAGTTCATTCTTTTTATGAAATTGTCGCTCTTGTCAACAGTTGAGCAAACACGAAAGGCTTGGCTATTCCTAGGCACTCGTCTGAACCACTTGATGTAAATGAGTAGGTTACGTGACTAAGCATTGGAGTGGGTCCGTATATTTATGCCAAGCAGTATGCATCGAACATCGTTTGGGTTGCTAGTGATGTATGAGGATTCTTAGCATAGTGAACGGAAGATATTGTGCTTTGATTGTGGATTATGCAAATGAGTATGAGTGTACCTTTGCGCATAAAGCCGGAAAAGGATTTTTAATGTATGTGTACATGCGCACGCAATGTGTACGAAGGGGTAAGGCTATTGTCGAATTTTCCATGCGAACGTGAAGCAGCACCATACATAATTTGTCACAAATACTAAACACTGGTATAGACATCGTCAATATCTTAATATTTTGATCATTACAGCTACTGCCTAAGCCTTTTTCAAGTAAATATAACTGAGCGATAGCGCGCACCTGCCATGGATTATAACAGTCCCAATATGTATCATGAGAAGTGTTACCCGTTTAAGTAGATTACACTGTGGGGAGCAAATATTCGTAACTTGAAGTCCAACATTAACAGTATCATCGTCACACATGTATTTGCTGATTGGATATATACTAACTTATTTTCCCAGGTTGATAGCCTTGAATCCACTACCTCTGAGACGAGCCTGTACTCTGCGGTGATAACGGATCCCATACCACTTGGTGTTACAGTCGAAGTGAGGATCGCGCACACATTCACTGCATGCGACTCGGAAATGGATGACCTGTTCGTGGACACAGAGGTGGTCTGCAAACACACTTCGCCAATATTCAACTACAAGGTAGGTGAACCGGGGTGATCGCGGGCTACAAAATTTGCACTTGTACAGTGAGTTCGAACTCCTACTCGATAACAAAATTCTCCCCGCTATAATCAACAAGTAAGTAAAGTGCGTGACACGGCAGCTCACGTTGACTTGGTAATCGCTACTACCTAGTGGAGGGTCATATGAAACTAACTCTAGCATCAAGCCTTCATTAATCAGGAGAAAGTCCAGAAGTGATGGCTTGTTTGAACCGTGGTGCCTATTCGGTCGATTCACATGGTTATACAAACTGCCATATGCATGAGCTCAATATGTTTTGATTTTAAATATGTCCCGTTGGGGTACGCTCAAACCATCGAAGGTACAGTGAAACTGCACATTGTCAGGTACTGCGTGTAAGTTTTAGATACAGTACAGTGGTTAGCGCTTGAGACCGAATGTCACATCGCTGTCTGCTAAGAGGCAACAATCATGTGCTTTCGTCTGAGGCTCAGCACTTCGACTGGCTAGCTTCAGCTGGCAGAATAATGCGTCGGTAATTACAATGGAACGTTCGTAGTCTCAGAAGGTTTTGAAGCACAAATCGATTGTTGCTTTGTACTTTAAAATCTTCCAAGGTTATGCATTCCCAGTCGATTCCAGTTTTATTCGAATATATTGAAGAGAATGTTCGGTAAGTGTGGTACATTTCAGCTTACCTCGGTACTAGACATTAGCACCGTCATCGCGAGATGGACGATCATTCCGAAGACAGACATTGCACTGAGTCCAGTTTTCGGATAGGGTATGTCGTTTGAGTTACTAGCTTCAGCCACCGCTGTGGTGTCTCAAGTTGTTGTTTTATATCGATGGTGCAGTCACGGACGTTTAGAAGAGAGCCGTTGAATGCCGGTGTGGCAGCATTGTATTGGTTGACGCATGCTGAGCTCGGTTCGCTGTGTGTGACCGGCACAAATAGTGCCGATATGCTGACACTTTTTGATACGGGTGTTTGCACGATTGGCTGATCGGACGTAGGAAAAACCGAACCTGGCTGACTTGTATTTAGGGAATGGAATGCTTGAAGGAATGGTCTTAACGAGCCTCCGGTGGCCCACGTTTTCTATTGTCAAACTAAGCTTGGTTCGTCAATGATACCATCTCGGGCGAAGGCGAGATAACTTTCGAAAAATGTTGCCCTTTACCGTGCTAGTGTGGATAAGCTGCTGGACGGGTGACGTCAAAATGTACAACAGTTTGCATAGTACAGAGCTCTGCGGTATATCTCCATTCTTCAATGTCGTGTTTTTGTAGTAACGTTTTTCGTCATGCTTCAATTCTGGCAAACCATGAATCATTACTATTTTCTCCATCTCATTTCGATGTGACGCGCTCGGGTTGGTATCCGCTCCTGACTTTCTGTCCGCCACTTCTCCGAAAAAATGCGGGGACACAGAAAAATTCACTAGATTATGGTTTGCTAAGAGAACACATTGCAGGTCCCGTGTGTTGCCAAATGTTGTTAGAAGTAACCGAGGTCCCCCACGTGCAGAGGTGATGGATTTCGTGAAAGCCGAGTAAGACTAGTAGAGAGAACTTTCAATCCGAGTGCACAGGTTATCGCAGCCCAGCGGCTTCGCTTCTTGATTTGTCGACCTTTTAACGATTCACTGGTGGGTTCTGGGACGTTTGAACATATTAACGTCACCTCCTATTGGTCGCATAATAATGCTTGTTCTGTGGTTCCTTGTGAGCGCAGGTTTGTCTTGTAGGAGTGTTTATCTTGTCTTGCAAGAAAGACAGACCAAGGTTGCAGCAATATTATGTTTGCCCAACGCCTTTAGTCGCACTGTTGTATCAACGCAGAAGTAAACGTAGAATGGTAGTCAGGTTTACTTTCTACATCTTTGCACGCGTATCCGTCATTCTGTGCTAGATACCACGGAGTTATTGGTGACCATCCTTATGTCTAGCACTAAGGTTATCATCCGCTAGCTACACGTTAGACTGCTCCGATGCAACTTCACAAATGGATGAGGCAAAGATCACCCTTTACACATGCCTTTGTCTGTTAAGAAGAAAAATGGTATATGTGGGAAATTGGCAGGTAAAAGTAATGTGTTTTGATGGGACAGACAATACTGGAAAATGCGATATAAAGGAAGCACAGCAAATCCGAGAAAGAAGTAATAATCGTCGGGATAGCGTCTATTTCTTTAGAGTTAGAGTGAAGATTATAGTGAGCGAGAGAAGACAAACAATCCCATAACGAACGACACACTGATGTGGAGAAGCCGATGAATGAGAACACACGTGGAACAAGTGGACGGCTGCAAAGTAGTAAAATGAAGAAGATCCGTTGGCACGTAACGGTAGCAGTGCAATCTTTGTAACATTAATACAAACCTGGAGACTGTGGACAAGACGGGATCTACCGGTATCGACTGACTCTCAAGGATGTTGAGTGGTTAAAGCGTACGTTAGAACTATGAGGTCCTAACTCAGGGAACTTTGAAAGCTGAGTATGTGATGCATCTCATAAAGAGTAAAAAGACTGGTCCAAACACGGTTCAAAGGCCACTTAGATGACGTGTCCACTCTGATAGGATTGAATGATTACCAAAGTAATCGGGAGGCCTACAACCAGCCGAGCCTACTTGGACACAATGTGCTGCAAGTTCAGGTATCATTTTCAGCAAGATCTGCACAGATCCCATCGCTTATTGCATACCAGTGCCATCGATGCGTTTTGTCATTTGCTCTTCTCGCATCTTGAAGTGCCGAGATAAAATCACAACTATGGTTACAGGTGTTGTGCATCACAATCCGCCTTTACACTAAGGCACACAGCCTCAAAGTATTAAGGGCGGTTGAAATTCTGAGTGACGTCCTTTCTCACTTAAACAAATGCCTTTGTCTGGTTATCCACAGTTTTCTGCAAACTTTTTCTGAACGGGTGATAATCCACCTAGATAAAAGACACAATTGTGCCCTGAACCCATTTGTATCAATATGCATCTTCCTCAATAGCGTACTCCCGGCGCTAAGTATAACTGACATGGTAACCCAGTGGATGGTAAGTAGGCCCGACGTATTTCTGCACTGAAGTCAGGTCAGCGATACACTTAACACACTTAGGCAGGTCGGATGTCCAACTCGAACCGTACTTGTTCGAAGGAACCGAGTTATACCAATGCAGGCGGAGGAAATGTTCCCAATTCGGACGCAAACCCAATGAATGAGACCACTGATATTGATTTCAAAACAAGGTAAAATTCAAAATGAGATTACGAGTAGCAGTCCGATAGTTCAGTAAATCGCACGAAATTCCATGGTAAAGCTTGTGAAGCCGAATTCGTTGTGCAATGCGGGTAATTTTTGGATCAAGAAACAGTCAACGGAATCTTAATATCATATGCACAAACAAGATGACTGTACATTTACATGTTAATAGTAGCACATAAATAATGTACAGTGCTTTATCATGCGTGAAAAGGGGGTGTTTCACAAGTCCGTAAGATGCTTGAGGTGAAAAGATATGAGAACCGTCAATTAAGCGTCTACTGATTAACAGTGGATGCTTCGTAACCGTAGTGTGAAATGGAAATTGTATGTAAACGCATAAAACAATCTGGGGAGCAGTTAGGGTCAACGTATCAGGTGAGAAAAATTAAAACGACACGTTCATTCGTATGTCACTTTCTTGGGTCCGTGTGATAGGTAAATTCAATTTGAGTCTATCGTAAAAATATTCCACAGTAACGCCGTTTAGGTAACGGAGTGCAGGAAGGGAAAGTAGTGGTGTTACCTTGACCCCCGTTCATAAATGATCATATGGCGTACTGTAAAGGTATGGGTGTATCATCGAGACGAAAATACGTGTTCCCTTAATCGTAAGATAATAAATCGAGGTTAGCTACTCAAACAGTTACTACGAATGGCTTTGGAAAAGCAGTCGCAACTTGCCCGAATTATAGCTTGCACCCAGAATAAAATGTCAGTCAGGCGCATATATTTGTCGTCCATCGTTCTCATCAGGCTGGTACACAACAGCACACGGGAGTCAAACGAACACAGGATATCTCTATGTGATGAATCAGTGACACGGATTGTCTGATCAAGGTTATTACGGGAGCGCACAGCTTAAGGTAAAGTTGTGGAACGAATCAATGAACAATGAGCAATGAATATATACGGATTACGAAGCGTTGCTTTACAAGTCCCGTTGAATAGTTGGTGGGGATATCCACATAACAATAATGATAATAATGATAGTAAAACAGTCGGTACTCCTGCAATAGGCTTAGATTCACAGCACCCGCAGTTAACATCAAATAATTCCATGGTATACTCCAAGTGTGGGATGGAGAAGTAGTGCTAAGTGACAAAGTATAAATCGAGGAGTGCATCATCCAACCGTCTTTTAAATACTCTTAGTGTCGGTGCAGAAACGACCGATTGTGGGAGAGCATTCCACGGTTGACTGAGATAAATGGAAGAGAAAGTTCTGTTACACTCAAGGCGTCTATACTGTACAGTAAGTTCCAAAGAGTGGCCCCTCAGGGTTGTATTGGTGATGAGTCGCAGTAAAGGGCGGCACACATGATGTGGGTCTCGCAGAGTCAAGTCTGCCATAATCAGGTCGCCTCGTAGTCTGCGATAGCTTCCACTGAATACCCCCAATCGTTGTAGCCTCTCCTGGCATGAAGGATTGCGAATTCCAATTCCGTTCATAGATACCCGAGGTTGTAGCTGCCCCAGTGCATTAAGGTCGTGTTTCAGCCATGGATGTCAGGCTTGAATTGCTTATTCGACAAGGGGGCGAACACACGCACTGAGTATTTGTCGAAACATGGAGCTGTTTATTTGTCCAAACGCCCGTCGCAACAGTCCGACGTGTTGGTTCCCAGTCTTCGAGGCCTTTTCGGATTGCCTGGAACAACCCAAGTCATTTTGAACCAGGACACCCAAATTTTGATCGACAGTTGATTGTTGTAGTCTAATCGTTCCGAGTCGGTATGAGTGGCTGCTCTGTTGTACCATAGGAACTACCT